CCGCTTTCACTGTACCCCATGGCCATTTTGAATTTCTTAGAATGCCTTTCGGTCTAAAGTGCAGTCCAGCAACCTTCCAAAAATTAATGGACAATATTCTACGCCCCTTTCTACACAAATTTTGTTTCGTCTACATGGATGACGTAATCATATTTTCCAAGTCATTACAAGAACATCTTATCCACATATCTCAAATTTTCCAAAGATTCCAAGAAACTAATTTAAAAGTCCAACTTGACAAATCCGAATTCCTAACAAAAGAAGTCACCTTCCTAGGCCACGTTGTTACCCCAGAAGGAGTCAAACCAAATCCCGCAAAACTCAAAGCGATTAGAGAATATCCACTTCCCAAAACAATAAAAGAAATAAAATCTTTCTTAGGACTAATCGGATATTACAGACGCTTCATCCCAAATTTTGCAAAAATTACTTCTCCCCTAACACGTTGTACAAGAAAAAACGCGATTATTGACCCAACAAATTCCACCTATCTAGAAGCATTCGCTAAATGCAAAGAATTACTTTCAAACTCTCCAGTTTTACAATATCCTGATTTCTCAAAACAATTCACATTGACAACCGACACTTCCAACATCGCATTAGGCGCTGTGTTAACCCAAGACGGTCATCCCGTCGCATATCATTCTCGCACTCTAAATACAGCCGAGCAAAATTATAGCACAACAGAACGTGAATTACTCGCTATCATCGATTCTTGTAAACATTTCCGACCTTACCTTTATGGAACTCGTTTTATAGTCGAAACCGACCATAATCCTTTAGTATGGATTTACAAAATAAAAGATCCTACATCCCGTTTAGCCAGATGGCGATTAAAATTAGAAGACTACGACTTCGAAGTTAGATATCGCCGAGGTCGCGACAATCAAGTTAGCGACGCCCTATCTAGAATACAAATTAATGCCCTTACAAAATCTTCAATCATAGCCGAACCACCAAATACTAACGACTTTGACCCAGACGAATTCTTAGATACATTCGATAATATTCAAAATAATCTCGATGAAACCCAAACACAACACACTTCATTAGAAGACCCTATTAATGGCATACCTATATCAGAAGAACCCTTAAATTTATCAACTAATCAAATAATAATTATTCCTAACAGCGAAAAATACGACGTCACTTACAAAAGAGTATTTAAAAAACATAGATACTCCGTTCACGTTACTGAAAATTGGCAAGATTGTCTTGTCGACGCATTTAAAGCAATTCTAAAACCAAGCCAAAAATTCGGCATAAAAACTCCACATTGTTTCCAACCTTTCATATGTGATTTCTTTAGAACACACATAGATAATACTGTTAAAGCAAATTTCTGCGAAAAACTTTTACAAGATATAGAAAGCGAAGAAAAACAAATAGAATGTACAAAAACTTATCATGTCATGAATCACAACGGCATAATTGAAACATATAAACATCTAAAACAAAAGTTTTACTGGCCCTCAATGCAAACCACGATAGCAAATTTTATTAACAAATGTGATATTTGTTTACAAAACAAATATGAACGCCAACCATACAAACTACCTCAGTTAGGTCCGCTATTAGGACAGAAACCATTTGATATTTTACATGTAGACATACTACAATGCAATAAATCTTATTACCTAACATTAGTCGACTCATTTTCAAAATACGCCCAATGCTACAAACTTCCAGACAAAGCCTCCGTATCGATTTTAAGCAAAATTAGACATTATTTCTCACACCATAACCATCCCAAGAAAATTGTATTCGACAGCGGAAAAGAATTCAATTCCTCAGTTATCAAAGAATTCTTGAATCTACACAAGATCGAAACTCATACAACCACTGTTAACAATTCTTCATCAAACTCCCCAGTCGAAAGATTCCACTCAACCTTGTTAGAAAAAATTCGAACATTAAAAGCACAAAATCCGCAAAACTCCTTAGATGACACCTTTACACAAGCTGTCCTTGTGTACAATCAATCTATTCACAGTTCTACAGGTTATTCACCATTTTCAATACTTTACGGCCCTTATCTAAATGAAATTAATTTTGACTTTGACCTACCTATCTATGAAACTTATAATGAACAACATAAAAACGAACTACTTCCATTTATTGACCACATATATACAAAAACAAAAGAAAAAAGAGACAAAGCTCTAGAAAAAGTAAATAAAGACGCAGAAGAAATACCTACAATCACACAAAAAGTTTACGCAAAGAAAAAGAAAATTCAACCCAAACTAGACCCTCTATATCAGACAATAACCCCCACTTCACAAAACAAAACAAAAATTACTGGCCTAACGGCAAAAAATAACAAAACTAGTACACACTTAAAATACGTTAAAAGACAAAGAAAACACTACAAAAAATCCTCTTTACAGGATGGCCCTTCAACATCTGCAAGCACTGGTCAAAATCCAAGAGATACCCAATAATGGTTACTATACGGAATCAATAGGAGACTCAAAAATCATAACTCATTTCCACAAACACATACTACAAATTGACTTACACAAACTCCAACAAACACTATCCAACAGTAGCGACAACTTCGACAACGTCTTACCAAACATACCCTTGATACAACTTCTAAAAAACCAATTTATTCACCTACTAAAAGAAGCAGAAGATAACTTACACAAAATTACACGAAAAAGAATACAAAAACGAGGTCTTTTCAACTTCTTAGGTACAACTATCAAATACATTACCGGCAATCCCGACGACTCAGACTTCGAACTCCTCAAATCTCATCTCGCTGCAGTCGAGCTTAAACAAAACGAAATAATAAAAAAGTATAACAATCAAATCTCTTATGGCGAAACCTTTAATACCAGATTCGACATACTTCTTAAAAAGTTAAATGATAACAATGCCCTAATATCAAATGAAATAGATCATGTTTCCAAACAATTAGCCATACTTAACGAAATTTTAGAAATACAAAGCATAAACGAATATATCAAAAAACTATTAAGAACAATAACATTCTCTCAATCCAATATTCCAAATATCGAACTTCTTACCTTACATGAGATACTTAATCTTCAAAACACACTTCTCTCAATTTATCCTCGAGACGCTCTAATACTCAATGAAGAACACCCCTATGAACTTTTAGAAGCCTCACATTCAGTAATATGTATAACTCAAACAAGTATGCTTATTATCCTAAAAATTCCTATTCTCCACGTCCACTCTTACCCAACTTCCAAAATATATTCGATACCTAACAATGAACAAGCAATGATAATCCCACCTGCAAAGTACTACGCAAATAACACATGGTACGAAAATTGCACGCCAAAATCTAACATCATCATTTGCCAAGATAGAGTTTACTCAAAATGTCAAATCCCAGACGTACAAGGATGCCTCACTGCACACGTTACAGAAAACTTTATCATAGAGACTGACCACGTCGTTCTACTAGGATTAGCAAAACCCCTTAAAATTGGCGAAATCACTGTCAACCACTCCAGCGTGATTTCCACAGATGAAACATTATACATCATGGGACAAAAGATAAACCCGCAGACCATCCAAGAACTGCAAATGCCAAATATTATACAAATGAAACTTCACCCGAAACATTCACTTATATTGGAAAAATTGGAAATTCCAAGAACCCATCACCGACTCGAGCCCATCGAAACGACAAATCTACAGCCATTGATGACAACCAGCATCAGCCTCATCCTCACATTATTAATCATGTCTGTTTTAGCATTAATTTTATACATAGCAATTCGCAAGAGAAGAAGAATCTACAAACTGTTATTTGGACCCAAAATGCCACAACACCAAGTAGCAGCCCTTCAAGAACTTCTCGAAATTCCGAGGACGGAATTTAATCCCAAGGAAGGAGGAGAAACGTAACCATAACACCTAGACAAACGCAACGCAATACCAACGCCACGAGACCTCCGCCAAGACCACACCGAAGGAAGCCAACAACACCATTAGATTATAAGTAATTACCTAAAACATTATAAATACAGCTTAAAATAAAAAAGTAGATCATTCTATTAGAGTCACTTGCTAGCTTACGTTCAACTATAATTGTTAACATTAATTAAGCATAGTCTGTAATTTGTATACTTTCAAAAATAAAGTTTTTTTTTTAAAAGTGTTCTAAGTGAGAAAATATAATATTTCATTGTATAAAACATCCGAAAACGTACGGATCATTGAGGTACACCTGCTAATGTTTTTAGGTCATTAGATTTTGCCACTTGGACATACATCTCATTCAGGTAGTCCTTAATTATATTGATCAAATGATCTTGAATGACACATTTGCTTTTTCCATTGCGTTGATGTAAAATAAAGCAATTAAGTTTTAAAATAGACTGATTAAAATATAATGCATTAATAGATTGTAATCTCCAGAACACAAAAAACAGTTAATATATTTGCAACATTTGTAAGATACAATTTAAAAACTATTAAAAATATAAATGAGTACTTTGATCTAAGAAACATGGTTTTAGCAAAGTATATTAGAATAACAAATATTATATTTTAAACTCAAGTTTAATGTAAACAATAATCAAAAGCACCGATTAAGAAATTCACTTAACTTCTTCAAAGTGCCTTTTCAGGTAAACCTTGACGGATGAACTCATTTCTTCTGGAATTCAATAATTAAATTTAGCTTGTAATTAGTTATATAATATCTTACAAGCCAAAACTAAATCAAAGAACATAAATTATAATTATAAAATTTCTACCCTTCGGTTTACAAAATATCGTTCTCAAAATAATAAATTTCCGAAGTGGAAATTGAAACGTCAATAAACGTATTTTTATCTTTAATTGTGGCTTATTCCCAGTTAAATAGTAATTAATTTAAAATGCCACAAGAAAATAGCTTCAGAACAATATTAAATTATAATTAGACTACTTTCTGATATTCACTACATAGATTTAAATAAAAAACTTAAAGAGTATACAAATTAAAAATTGAAATCTTATTTGTAATTACCTACCTTCATCTTCAGTCGAATCAGTTATACTGGTAATAAGTTCGTTAAATAGATTAGCGATGGAGATTGCTGCACTACCAAGTTCCACATCTGAAGGCATCCAATTACCTGGTGGCATCTTTTTGTAAATCTTAACAAAAATGTCCAATTTATTCAGAGCTTCTTCGGCTTGCTCCGGAGACAGAGAAAACAGGCAAGATTTTCCACTTTTTATATTGGCAAATTTTGGACAATTTGATTTATAGTTTCTAGAGAAAAAAAATTGATTATGTTATATTATGTCAATTTTTCTTTTATTCTGTTTACGATATTTAAAAAATGTATGCATTATTTAATAGATATGTTTTTTCTTATACATGCAGAACCATATTTTTTTTTGAACGTTTGTGATAATTCCCGCCACATAAGTTGATTTATAGAGGGGCTTAAAAAGTTCTGATGTTGTTGACACCACTGGTGACATCAGTTTTTATAAATCGTGAAGTAAGATTGTTGTCATTGTTTTAGTATGAAAAATTATTCTAATCCATCGTTTTAGCAGAAATAGTATAAAAAATTATAGTACAGTTTGTTCCAGTCAACAGTCTTTTCAAATTTATAAAAATTGTAATTATGAGACAAAATTTTAAGTTTGGGGGATTTGAGCTTAAATTTGGGGGAATTTCAGTTTCCAAGTGGGCGATTTAAAAAATCGCATCTGGCAACTCTGAAATTTTTCTTACAGCAGTAGGTCCAAATGGTCCAAGGTAATCAAAGACGCTAACATAAATTGGCAAGATTTTGGCTCCGCTATTCTAGAATGCGCAAGCTATTTTGTGCATGGATTACCTTGTGAATGGAATAACCATCAATAGCGAATATTATAGCGTTATTGGTGCGTTTGAAGAAAACAATTTCAAAAATGTGGCAACAAATTAAGAAAAAACGTGTTACATGTTGGTATGTGAATCATGGAGACTAACAGAAAGACATGGAAGAAAGATAAAAGGTACGGAAATGGATGTAATAGGACGAATACTGAAGAAATTACGCGAATAAAAAGACAAGGTGCAATAATGAACTTTATACAACGAAAGCAGTTCATGCGGTACAAACTTGTAATATGAATGAAAAATCATAGATTACCAAAACAAGTACTCGAATGGACACATATTAGCAAAAAGAAAAGTATACTAAAAAACATTAATAAAGTGAGTAATAAAGTCAATTATTTTTAAATAACTTAGATAAGGACAATGGAACATCTAACAAGAATTAAAATTGTGCTTCGCAAATCGTCTAAAGAAATCAAAGATTTACAATGTTGAAAGTTCAATTTTATCTAAACGCTGATGTTTTATTAGGGACTTACTGAATTGGGTGTTAATTTCTACATATTAATGGTAGAAAAGAAATCTAAATACATACATAAGTGATATTTATTCTTAATGATATACCTTTGAGGGTTAAAATCAGCTTCGCATACATCGAGGGGAGCATTATCCAAAAACTGGAAGGTCACACATTTTTCGCCAGTATCATCATCATCATTCTCGTAGTTGGGATCCAAAGTCACATTATCTACTAAAAATTCTAACAAAAAGAGATTTTCTGTTGCTATTTTGTCCATTTTAAACTTAAAATTTTAATATATATGATATCTTAACGAAAATTTTGATATATTGTCATTGTGACAGTTTTGCTACTGTAAACGTTTTGGGACGAATTTGATATCTGGGGGTGGATATATTTTATAATACCAATTGCACGCTTCGGTTTTAAAAGGCTGACCAACGCTAGAAAAAACATAAAAATTCTTAAAATGACGTATATGATTTTTTTTAGATATACCTCACAGGACTGATAGCTCGCTAATACATTCATAAATTTGGTAGAATCTGATGCACTTTAAGGATGTAAAAATTTTAGCATTTTTTTTTAAATGGAGTTTAATAGAGAGCGGTTTCTATGTCTGGTTGTATATCCTGCCACGTTTTGGGAGAAAAAAACAGGCGAATGATACAAATTAAGATATGTAGGAAAAAAAGTAGATCTTGCAATCATCATCATCATCTTTGGCTCGACAATCCTCTGTGGATCTTGGCCTGCTCTAAGATTTGTCGCCATTCTGTTCGGTTTTTGGCAACATGTTGCCATCTTCTGATTTTTAATATTCGTAAGACGATTTCTACTCCATCTAACCACCTAATTCGCTGTCGGCCTTTGCTTCTTTTTCCTACAGGTGTTCCTGTGGTTAGCTTTTTAGCAATGGTATTTTCTGGCATTCGTATTATGTGTCCAGCCCATCTAAGTCGCTGTGTTTTAATGAACGTTATGACATCTGGCTCATCAAAGAGCTGATACAATTCAAAATTATATCTTCTGCGCCACTACCCTTGGTCGTTTAGAGCTCCAAATATTTTGCGGAGTATTTTACGCTCAAATATTCCCAAAAGTCTTTCATCTTTCTGCGTTAGTGTCCATGTTTCTGCTCCATATATGAGGACCGGCCTCAGCAATGTTTTGTATATAATAATTTTAGTTCTTCTTTGAATGTTTCTTGAGTGGAAATGCTTTTGGAGTCCATAGTATGCCCTATTTGTAAGATTTATTCGTCTTTTGATTTCTTCGCTTGTTTTATTGGTAGCAGTCAATAGCGACCCAAGGTATGTGAAGTTGTCAACACGTCCAAAGGTATGACTTCCAAAGACTGTTTCTCGTTCGTCATTTGCTATCGGATCCTTTGTAACCAACATGTACTTGGTTTTGCCTTCGTTGATGACTAGACCGACCTGTTTCGCCGCTGTTTCCAATTCTAGGAGATATTGCTCAACATCTCGCTTGCTACGCCCTACTATGTCAATGTCATCAGCATATACTAAGACTTGTATCGATCTATTGTAAATAGTACCGCCATCCCTAATTCGTGTATCTCGGACTGCCTTTTCTAAGGCAATATTAAATACGAGACAAGCCAGAGCATCTCCTTGTCTGAGTCCATCCTTTATCTCAAAGGATCTAGAACTCTCTCCCTGTATTCTAACAGTGGCTTCTAAGTTAGACATTGTCATTCTCGTTAGTCGGATAAGTTTCTCTGGTATACCAAACTCATGCATTGATTGGTATAGCACTGTTCTCTTGACACTGTCGTATGCGGCCTTAAAGTCGACGAATAGGTGATGGGTTTCAATATTGAATTCTAATGTTTTCTCGAGAATCTGTCTTATTGAATGAATCTGGTCAATTGTTGATTTTTCTGGAGTGAATCCAACTTGATATTTAACAACTATGCCCACTGTGTAAACTTGCAACCTTTCGTAGAGAATATTTGCTAGTATTTTGTAAGCAGTTGTTAACAGGGTTATACCTCTATAGTTGTCACACTGGAGCTGGTCACCTTTTTTATGTAACGGGCATATCACGCCTTGAGACCATTCACAAGGCATGGTCTCATTATGCCAAACAAGAAGTAAAAGCCACAAGGAATCTACGTTCCTGTAGTTGGCTGTATACCATGTATTAAAAAATTTAATTAAAAATCCTTTGTAAAAGGTATATTTTAGGCCCAAACGGGCTAAGTTAAGACAAAACGTTTTCGGAAACCATGTTCCATCATCAGTGTCTAGGAGTACATGAATGAAGCCACCAAGATTAAATATGTGGGTAAAAACCCGATTACATATGTTTAATTACATTTAGTTTTAAATTAATGTTGAAATGATATAAGATTACAGAGTTACCGATGGATTTGGTAACATGGCGACATATGACTCCACGTTGAAGTTGCTAGTCCTGAGACGGTATGTCTTCGAGGACTATATGAGTGCAACTCAATAGTCCTCGAAGACATACCGTCTCAGGACTAGCAACTTCAACGTGGAGTCATATGTCGCCATGTTACCAAATCCATCGGTAACTCTGTAATCTTATATCATTTCAACATTAATTTAAAACTAAATGTAATTAAACATATGTAATCGGGTTTTTACCCACATATTTAATCTTGGTGGCTTCATTCATGTACTCCTAGACACTGATGATGGAACATGGTTTCCGAAAACGTTTTGTCTTGTTAACTTAGCCCGTTTGGGCCTAAAATATACCTTTTACAAAGGATTTTTAATTAAAGAAGTAAAAGCTTATGCAGTGTCTGTAGTAGGGCATCGCCACCATTCTTGTAGAGCTCACTGCAAATTTGATCAACTCCTGGTGATTTATTATTTTTAAGCTTTTTAATGGCTTGGGCAACGTTTTCGATGGTAGGTGGTCTTTCGTTTGGGTTGAAAGGATTCCAATCATTTCGATTTGCTAGGGTGTTGTCTGCTTCTTCTATACGATGGCCATTAAATTTTGCATCGAAAAATTCAACCCATCTGTTTAGGATTGAGGCCGTATCATTTAGGATGTTTCCTTCTACATCCTTACAGCTCCTTATTCTTGGCTTAAACTCTTTGCGCATTTTGTTTAGATTTCTGTAGAACTTTCGAGTTTCATTTTGATTTCTTAGCCATTCTTTGCTTTCCAATCGCTTTTGCTCAAATTGCCTTTTTTTTCTTCTATGTAATCGTTTTTCTTCTCTTCTTTGTGTCCGGTATTCTTCCTTTGCTCTTCTTGTGCATCCAGCTTGATTTGTCTTTAGGTATGCCCTGTTTTTGTTATCTGTTGCTTCTTGGCACTCCTTGTCAAACCATTCGTTTTCTTTAACTGGTTTGGTTTTCCCCAATATTTTTGTTGCTTTCTCAGTTATTATGCTTTTACATTTTGTCCACAGTTCCTCTACATTTTTCCCCACCTCCAGGCTCTCCATTTCCTCGTCCATTTGTCTCATATACTCTTGCAATGGAATTGCTATAATTGCTATTAGAAAAAATGAAAGATTACGTGGTAGAAGTTGAAAGAACGAGTAATATTAGTAATTTATATAAAATATCAAGTAAGATAAGTAACTTTTATATATCTAGATTTAAATTTAACTTACATGTAATAATTGTTTACCCCATAAACTCTCAACACATACTACGAATTTATTCAAGAAATTATTGTACTCACAGAAGCATATCCTTTTTCCTTTGGCAAAGATTATCCTGTACAAAAGCCGTTAAATTTGGTTCTTCTATCCATCTAGCGTAAGACCTCGTATAAACTGGAGTTACCTTTACCGGTTCTATAATTTCTTCGTCTGGTTGTGGAGTTTTAGGCCACCAAAAGGGAGGTTCTATTTTGCAAGGCACCAAAGGTATGGGCGGAGATTCTTTTTCGACTTGTTTCTTAACTAGTCTTTGAAAAGACCCCTCAAATTCTGCCGCGTCTGTTTCGTTCTTTACGCGACGTTTTTCTAGTCGTTCAGCTTCGATGCAGTCCAATTCAAACTGATACGAACGGTTGAATATTTTTTCTAAAATAATTCTTTTTTTATATTGTTTTCATAACTTAAAAATGATAGTTGATAATTTAGTTAATTGCTTTCTGACTATGTCATTGTACATAATATACATAGTTACCTTACCTTTATGCATATATCTCGGATCGTACATTCCTTTTGATCTATCAGGTGTGAACTTTCTGTACATTTCGTGAATAAAAAAGTCTTCTTTACCCGGTCTAGCCAACCAAGAGTATCTTAAAATATATTTATAAATTAGAATTACTACTGACTACGTAAACGCAGTTCTGTTATAAAAAGGCTACCGTAAAACGGGGTTACATTGAACCCGAGGGTTACATTGAACAGTTTTGCAATGAAGATTATATTTTTCTACAAGCTGGCCTAAACTTTTTTTTGGGACCGATATATTTTTTTGAGGGTTGCAAATATGTTTTTCTTGGACTTCCTGATAAAATTTCTGGCAGTTTCTTAAAATTAACAAAAATGAATTAAAAATGGTTTCTGAAATAAAAGGTAGTAAAAAAAAATCTCTCAAACTTTGGTCTGCAGCCGGCGATATGCAAAAGATATCTTCTCATGATTAATTTTACACGATACTAGTACCTATTTGAACCTTATTCTACATAATACCGTAAATGATTAGGGTTTTGAATATTTTTAATTAATTTATACAAAAAATATGTCAATTATTTGGGAACGTGGGGTAATATTGAACGGCAGGATTGAACGTGCTTGGGCGGCGTCAATCGAGTTCCATCTAAATATTATTGTCTGGCGTTACGCTACCTCGTTTTGAATCATTTGAATGAAATTCGCTTAGCTCAGAGCTCAGTATAACATTGGTTGGCTTGGCGGTAGGAACATTGTGTGGTTAGGAAATTCAGTTGTGGTGCAATAGGTAGTGTAGTGCGATAATCTCAGTCCAAAATGCGTGATTACGTTAGAAAGTTGGGTAGTCGATCATACAAAAATTACACCTCTGATACTTTGGATCAAGCAATCCGCGAAATTAAAACAAAACAGTTATCACTTTCCAAGGCGTCGAAGAAATACAAAATCCCAAAAGGAACATTAAGTCACAAACTGAACAACAAAAAAATGAAGCAATATAAGGTTGAATGTTCGAATAATTAAACTTTGAGGGTATACAAGGCAACTATCGAACACGGTGATTAATTTAATCTTGCCCAAGTACTTTCGATCAATAGATCATCTTCAGGGGCATTTCGTCAGTTGTGGCCTATCCGACATAGTCATTTAAATTTATGACATTCTACTATGTCGGATAGGCCACAACTGATGAAATGCCCCTGAAGATGATCTATTGATCGAAAGTACTTGGGCAAGATTAAATTAATCACCGTGTTCGATAGTTGCCTTGTATACCCTCAAAGTTAAAAAAAAATGAAGGACGTCGGAAGGCCCACAGTTTTAAACAACGTCGAAAAAAGGGCACTGGTCAAGATGCTTTTGAAAACCGCTGAATGGGGCTTTCCTTTAACTCACGACGATTTACGACATGTTATGAAAAGCCATTTGGATAAAATGGGTAATAGAGTTAAGCAGTTTAAAAATAATTTGCCTGGTATCGACTGAATTAAAGGTTTTCTGAAAAGGAACAGAGAAATAAGTGTAAGAAAATCTCAAAATATAAACCCAAATAGAGCATCTTCCACTAGAGAAGTTTTCATTGCTTATTTTGACAACCTTGAGCAATGTCTAGACGGAGTTTCCCCCGATTGTATATACAATTTCGATGAGACAAATTTATCGGATGATCCTGGGTCTGCAAGATGCTTTTTTAAAAGAGGGGTGAAATACCCAGAACGTTTATTATCTCAATCAAAATCAAACATTTCTTTGATGTTTTGTGGAAGCGCTTCAGGAGTTCTGCTGCCTCTGTATGTAGTCTACAAAGCAGAAAACCTTTGGACAACTTGGACGGAAGGAGGACCCGATAAAACCAGATACAACCGAACAGCTCATGGATGGTTCGATCCTGCAACATTTTTAAATTGGTTTACTTCTGTTTTCCTTTATTCCACTAGACATGAAGAAGGAGTCAAAATATTAATCGGGGATAACTTAGCGAGCCATTTTTCTGAGCAAATTATCAGACTGTCGGTTGAAAATAATATTCGATTCATATGTTTACCGCCTAATACTACGCATATCGCTCAACCCCTGGATGTCGCGGTGTTCGCACCACTGAAGAAACAATGGCGTGCAATACTCAGCGATTATAAGTTAGCAACGGGATCAACTGGTCTTCCAAAGGAGATGTTTCCAAAACTTTTAAAAAAGCTGATGTTAAAATTCGCAGAAACTGGTGAACAAAACCTTCAAAGTGGCTTTCGGGCAACGGGTATATACCCTTTAGACAGAAATGAAATATTAAAGAAATTGCCTGCTACTGATGATACTGAATCAAATGAAAGTTTTGGAAACAGTTTAAACGACACAGTTTTACAATTTCTACAGGGTATTAGGAACAAAAAGAGAGCTAGAACTCAAAGTAAAAAGAAAATTAACATCGCACCGGGTAAAAGCATTGGATTGGAAGATTTTGAAATAGGAGAAAGTTTTGGATGTTCTGCACCACCCACGAAGAATAAGAAAAAGTCTGCTAAGGAATTGGATAGTGACAGTTCCGACTACGAACTAGAGCTTCAGGACGAATCTGATTGTGATTTCGAGACATTTTGTGATGAAATGCACCAAGAAAAGAACGAGGAGATCGAAAGGCCAACAGGGGCTGCAGTCGTCGACGATTATGTTCTCGTGAGATTCGCAACCAAAAAGATCTTGAAATTTTTCGTTGGTCTTATAAAAGAACAACTGCCTGATAGAGATTCTGTGGTCAAGTTCATGAGAATTGCGAAGAATTCTGCCTTCTATTGGCCAGAGGTAAATTTTTCAGTGCATTTTGCATTATACCAAAATCGACTGTTGATTTATTTTCAGATAGACGACATTTCAGTCGTAAGTTCTTCAGATTTTGAGAGACTTCTGCCAGCTCCAGCTGAAGACCGCCGCGGAAAAGTGGTTTTTTCGATCCAATTTGATGGGTATACTCTGGGCTAAAATCCTTCTAAAGACTGTCGTTTATACGTTTCCCTTATGTTTTGTCATTTGACTTGAAAATTACCAATTTCTTTAGTTTGAAATATGATTTTATAAGACTGTGTAAAAGAATTTTAAGTTTAATAAAAAAGAATGTAAAAAAATATTTTGTCAATAAATATAACCATTGAGAAAAAAAAAACAAACAAAACTCTCCCCACTAGTTTTTTCCGCTTGTTTCACTGGTGGGGTTAAATTGAACGAATAACTAACCTGTGGGCTCGTAGACACCGATTTATACTACTGTTCAATGTTACCCCGAACCCGGGGTAAAATTGAACAGCAACTTTTTTTTATAGCTATTTTTACATAGCTACGCCCAAGAGATAATCTAACGTATGTAGAGTCATGTTTCTATAGTGACCCATAAGTGGTATTTTTTTTATTCGATTGAGCAACAGAGTCAAAACTTATTCAACAAAATATGAAGAAAATGTTCAATGTAACCCCTTTTTACGGTAATATAAAACCCATATACTGGTTTGCTTTCAGGAGCTTTGTATTTGAATTCATAAACACTGGCATGTTATCTAAGATCTAAGCGGTGAGACACAATTTGGTTTCAAGAGCGGACTGGGTACACGTGAAGCAGCTTTCTGCTTGAATATGCTTGTACAAAACTGCATGGATCAACGAAAGGATATAGTCATAACATTCCTCGGTTTTGAAAAAGCGTTTGACACCATAAAACATGACGCAATGATAAAAATGCTACACAACGCTAACATTGACGAGAAATATATAAGAGTTCCCTAATAATAATCCCTATTGGAATCAAAAAGCACGAGTGAGACTGAACAAATCAACCAACACAGAAGAATTTGATATTTTAATTAAGAGGGGTGTGACAGGGGTGTATTTTGTCTCCTATGCTCTTCAAGGAAGAAGATCTGTTGGCCGAAGGCAGAACTCATGGTTAAAGAATCTACGTGATTGGTACCAATGCAGATCGATTGATTTGTTTAGAGCAGCAAGTTCTAAAATAAGAATAGCCATTATGATTGCCAACCTCCGTAGGGAGACGGCACTCTAAGAAGAAGATGCTCTTCAATCTCTATGTGAAGAGCATTTTTGCAGAGGCTTTGAGTGTGGAATAAAGGTAAACGGGTTCCCGATAAATAACATTCGTTACGCCGACGACACCGTGATAACAACAAACAACGAACATGATATGGAGTTGATGTTAAATAAAATAAACACCGTAGGAAAAATATATGGCTTGAAGATAAATGCTGGAAAAACTAAATACATGGCAATAAGAAAAAACTCACTTTTAAGAGTACAACTGCAAGTAGATAATGCTCCAATCGATCAAGTGAAAACATTTAAATACTTGGGAATGATGATGAATAACCAATGGGATCCTCAACAAGAAATAACATGCATCGCAATATTTCCTTCAATCTTTACTACAGGATGGTTAAATGCTATGTATGATTCATATTGTTGTACGGCATGGAAACATGGACGTTAAGAATTAAACCTTCCATTAATAAGTTGGAGGCCTTCGAAATGTGGACGTTGCGAAGAATGTTCCGGATACCATGGGCAGATAGGGTGAGAAACGAGGAAGTCTTAAGATAGGCAAATAATGAGAGAGAACTACTCAATTTGATCAAGGTACGTAAAATTGGATACCTCGGCCATATTCTGAGAGGAAAAACATACGTAATCCCTCAACTAATCATCCAGGGAAAGATTGAAGGCAAGAGAGGAGTAGGTCTCAAATAAATGTCGTGGCTACGGAACATAACGAACTGGACAGGCATAAATAACACTATCGATCTTTTGCATGCTGCAAAAGACAGACATCTCGCCTTAAGATAATTCGCCAACGCAATATTGGGGAACCTACACGGCACTATAAGAAGAAGAAGGCATGTTATCGCGATTTTAGGCTTATTAGCTGTTATCAAAATATGAGCAAATATGTACAACTTCAAATTCATAGACCGTCTGGCCATGGCTGACATTCTCGCCAGGTGAGCTATCTGACTCAGTTAATTTCTGCAGTTTCTTACAGCTACCAAACTTCTATATCTGTTTAGATATTCAACCTTTTTCATTGTCACTACTCTTTATTTTGACAAAAACTTTTCATTTTTATTGTAATTGTAATTTCAAATATATTTAAGTTTCATATCAAACTTCATAAATTATTTTCCAGCTTCTAGCATTTGCTTCTGGATTTTTCTTTTTTCTTTTGTATTGTTTGCTTTCTTTTTTTTTATTTCATTGCTCTTATTTGTTTTATTTTCTTCATTATTTCTTTCTTTTTTGAGGCTAATTCCTGTATTTTCCCAATTATTACTTTTTCTGTATTTTAGCCTACATAAATGTCGTCTTACAGTTTTGTAATATGTGTTGCCTATCTAACAGATTTAAACTTTATTTCTAAGAAAATTATATTTATATTCTTGTCAGTCCAGTTCCATTCTTTTAATTCTAAAATATATTAAAATTAATAAAATAATTATTAATTTTTAATTAATTTGTCCTTAATTGTTCTTTTGTCCACGAAAAAGAGGTTGGTCTGATCCACTCTGATCTGTGTTTAAATTCGTCTACATAATATATTAAATATATTTTGAATAATACACAGGTTTTTTTACAAACTCTGCGAATAAACATAAAAATTGGACATGGTACTAAATAAGTAAGGGCACTAATTGACACTAGATAGCCGAAGACATTTATTTTACAAAGTTACCGCGCAAGAAATGGGTTTTTCTGCTAAGGGGACGGAAAGATTATTCATGTATTATTTGGCGGTAGAAGCACTTCTGAATAACGATATAAATTGTACGAAGTAACTGCGTGTGGAGGAACCTTGTTCTCCTTGAGAAGAGAGGAGAAGAGAAGAGGAAATGAACGCTTGTTCATTTGATGCCTTCTATCAACCAAAAATTTGTCCAGATGTCCAGATTTATAACGGCCCTTAGATTGAGGAACTCAGTGACATAAATAGGTATTTCACTCAGCGATATCGGAAAGACAGCATCAATTGAGATTTTGTTTGGAGCTGATATTGTAGGCAAATTGTATATGGGGAGGAAATATCAGTTGCAGTGTGGCCTTGTAGCAGTTGAAACTTTGTTAGGTAGGACTCTTATGAGCAAGGTATCGGCAGTTGCTTCTAATTTTAGTACAAGTATGATTACATTTTCGTTGTTTGTTGATAATTCTTCTGTAGTGAAACTCTGGGAGCTTCATGTTATTGGGATAACCGACCCTGTAAAAAAAATGACACGAGAGGTGGCGTGGCGTCCAAAAGGCTAAGAATTTTTTCTATGAGCATCCTTCAATTTCAAATAATTTAGTTGCAGCTAGGGGAAGGTTAGATAATACTTTAAATAAGTTGAAAAGAATTTGCTTGAATCGTATAACTTTATATTCAATGAGTAGTTGAACGAGGGTATAATTGAAATAATGAATAATCCCGAAGAGAATAATTGCGTGAATTATTTACCTCACAGGCCCGTTATTAAAAATAATAGTGAAACCACAAAAATTAGGCCAATCTTTGATGCATCATCTCATGAATAGGATTGACCTTCTTTAAATCAGTGTTTGGAAGTAGGGCCTAATCTTATTGAACTTATTCCTTCTGTTCTATTATGATTCAGACAACAAAAGGTAGGAGTTGTGTTGGATATTCGAAAGGCTTTTCTTCAAATTTCTATATGTTCAAAAGACAGATATTTTTTGTGGTTCCTATGGGTGAACGATGAAGGAAAGGAATTTGTATTTCGACACAAAAGTGTTGTTTTTGGAGTCAATTGTAGTCCATTTCTTCTGGGTGCTACTATAGAATTTCATTCAACAAAGGCGCTGGGGAAATGTTGTAATGATAATCCGTATTCTAAAAACACAATCAAAAAGCTATGACTGGGTTTTATGTGGATAATTGTGTGACCAGTGTTACTGATGAAAATGAGTTGAGAATGTTTGTATCAGAAGCAACCGCCCATATGGAGGAAGCTTAGAGGGTGACCCCAAAAAAGAAAAAGGCATGACACAGACACAGATTTTAAAAAACGACTATATTTTGAAATTTTGGATACTATTATTATGCAAATAGATACTCGTTTTTCGAATTTGAGAGATATTTGCAAATTTTTGACCTCTTTGACGATTCAAAATTTAAAAGTTACAAAGTCAAAGAATTTCCCAGATATCTATTAGAAAAGTTAATTAAAAATTATCCATCATTCCTTAATAAAATAAAACTAGAAAATGAATTAAAAATTTTATATGCTGATCCAAAAATTTTCGGAATGTAGAATAAATTACGTAAAATAATCTGGAATGTATAATTTTATATACTGCAAATCATTACAACAAACTCTTCCCGAAATTGATAAATTATTGTCATTAATTCTCTCATACCACCAAGACGATTGTATACTTGGGTCTCTCCACAAAATAACTAGGAAACATAATAAAAAAGGGATCAAATTGATTACATAATGGTGAATAAGAGATTCCGTAATGGATGTCTATCAGTTAAAAGTTACCTTGGTGCTGACGTATCGTTAGATCATATTACTGTTATTGGTAAATTTAAGTTTTGATTTATAAAGGTTACAAAAAAGAATAGTAACAAAAAACATGATATGAGAAGACTTAAAGATAAGGAAACAAAAGAGATAGTCGCACGAATTTTTCAGAGAAGCTAAGTCACATGGACCAAACATATGATCCAGAAGAATCACTCCAGAAGTTCAGAGAGGAACATCTAATAGAAAATAAGGAGAAGAGGAAAAGTTGGATAAATGACAACATACTGCAACTCATGGAAGAAGAAAATCAAAGAAAAACAAGAATATTTAGAGACAAATAAGAACCGAAATACGAAAGGCCAAAGAAAATTGGTTAAAAACACAACTTACTGTAAATTGGACGTTTTATTAAATATACAAAAAAGAAAAGTGTCGATAATCTCAATAAAAACAGTCAAAATAGAATATAGTATAAAACAGTATAGTATAATGCAAGACCCTTGAGGAAGGCGAACCCCTCCAAGACTGCAACAGCGCTGATGATGATGATAATACTGCTGATGGTATCAAAATATTATGGAATTGACACCAACTTGAACAAAAAAAATGCAACTGCAAGTGATCAAAAGTTAAATACAAAATATAAATATATATTAATTAATTACACGATGGTAAAAAGCACATTTATAAACATAAAACATACTTTACCTTTCATCAAACATCATATTTTCTAAAATTTTAGGATGAATTACGCTAGGACCTCTTTTTGGTAATTCATCATCTTTGGAAGTAACTGGAACACAATATTTTCCAAGATTACTTTGTGTTACTCTAGTGTAATATGGCGTAAACTGGGAAGATGATTTAAAAACCCAAGGAACATCTTTCAGCTGATAATCTTTTAAAGAGCTTGTAGAAACCTCAGGCATTGCCAGAATAATTAGATGTTTATATAAATAGTAAATATTATTGACAGTTTAGTTTGACAGTTAAAGATAAAATGTTTACACTAATTAAAGGTGAGGGTTAAAATTAGATCGTTTAACGGTTTTTGAATATTTTAGGTTAATCTGTACTGTTTTTAAATAATAATGAAATTTCAACCCCTTAAATGACGAGTTCTAAAACAGAAATTATACCCCAGGTGAGTATGGCGAGAAGCTCACAATCTCACATCGATTCGTCGATCCATCCACACGATTCTGGGGGGACATATATTTGTCAAGACCAAAACAAAAACTTACTTCTTCTTTCTTCCTCATAGGCCTCCCCAAATCAATCCAGTGTTTTCTATTTTGCGCCATTTGCTTCCAGTTGTGTTCTCCGATCTTCTAAATGTCATCAGCCAATCTTATTTAGACCTTAGTCAGAAGGTTACACGATCTCTACTCTACTTTAGCCCATCTCATTTATGGTCTTCCAAAAAAAATCTTACAAAATTATGAAAAACTCACAAGAACCACAAATTAAAAATTGCAATCTAAAACATCAGGACATTGTAGTTGTAGCATTTGCATTTTCCTATATATGTTTGTTTAGAGCAGCAAGTTCTACAATAAAACTAGCCATTATGATTGCCAACCTCCTTAGGGAGACGGCACTCTAAGAAGAAGATATATTGGAATCCCATTGTATAGGGGAAATGTGCCTATGATGGTCCCCTTAAGAAAATAGCTTCATAATAATTTTAATTATTTACTTAGCAGACTTTAAATATGACCACATAACGTCTCGTTATTTGTACAATATGGCAAATGTTTCAAATTTTGCAGAAAAAGTGATGTTAAAAATTTATTCATAATTTACTAAAATCCTGTTAAGGGTCCATCATGGGCATATATGCGCTCATGATGGACCCTTTGGTACGCCCATGATGGACTCGTTGCATTTTGTGTAAAATAATTAAATACCAAATTATTTTATTAGATCAAAAGACATTACAAACGATAAAAAATATTACACATGGTATTTTTAAGAATAAAAAAATTACGCGCACAATTCACACACAAATTGTTTATGTCGAGGATTTACATCTGCACATTCAGTGTGACACCAATTCTTACACACTTGACAACGAATCCATTTTTCATTGGATTGTGAATGCGAAAATAGTTCGTTACAGTAGATGCAAGCTGCAACGTCCGAGTCGCCTTCTACAAAAGAGCATTCACAATCGTCTTCAGAACCACTTGTAGTTGAAACACGAACTTGCCTTTTCACTTTTCTGGCGTCTTGTTTCCTTTTTTTTTGCTTCTTTGTCTGCAATTTTTTGTTTTATATCTTCAATTTCTGGCGTTGAATTTAAATATCCTGTTTTACCCCGTTTTCTACCCCTTTTCTGTATTACTTGAGATACTCCAGCTAAAGGAGGAGGACAAATATCTTCTACCGAGATGTTTAGAACTGACGATGATGTAGATTTCTGATCAGTGGGGCTTTTTGATAAACTTTCAATCGAAGAAACATTTTGGCTCCAATGTTCCGGTGGTGACTTCTGGTCAGAACATTCTGGCAGTGGGTTTTGTTCAGAATTTTCTCTATGTGTTGTTATAGACGGCAAAAATTGCCAATACTCTAAGACATCTGGATTGAATGGTTGTATTCCTGTCTTTTTAAATGCATTGATTGCATTTAATGGTAAAGCACTTTTTAAATACGCTCTATTAAAGAGACTGGCTACTTTAAATTGGGTCACCGTTTTACCTGGATTCTGTCGCAGCCATAATTGAATTTCTTGGCCGTCGTAAATTTGAAGTGGTCTAAAAAATCCTACGTCCAAGGGTTGAACGTGATGAGAAAGTGAGCAGGAAAAAAAAACATAATACCGTTTTCCTTTGCAAACTGGAGAGCTTCAAAACTTTTGTGACTACTATGGCCATCGAGTAACAACAAAACTTTGTTGGTTTTAGAAGCCTTTGTATACCTTAAAAAATGTTGCAGCCACAAATAGAAAATATCGGAAGTCATCCATCCTTTTTCTTGAGCGAAGGCTATACTTCCAGTAGGTGCATCGATCATAAGTTCATCTTTCTTTCTCTGTCGAGGAAAAATCAAAGCAGGAGGAACATATGTTCCAATTGCATTCATTGCACATACGACCGTAACATGTAGATCGCGCTCTGCACTACTTAAGCACCAACTTGTTTGCGACCTTTACTAGCATAAATTTTCTGCGATTTCTTTTGCACAGTTCTCAAACTAGACTCGTCCATATTATAAATGTTTTCCGGTGGAAAGTGAAACTCGTCTAATATATTTGCTAATGCAGTAAAATGGCACATATATTTGGTTTATTAAAAGCTTGAGCCCTTGCCAACGAAGTATTTTCTGGAGTGCGTAATGATATTCGAGGATTTCGCTTTAAAAAGCCTCTGACCCATTGCCAGCCTGCCATCCTGGTTTCCTTATTAAAATTGTGGCTAATATTATTTCTTTCAGCTACTTAGTATACAAGTTTTCGCAAATCTTTACTAGTCAGGCCAAAAAAACGAGTTTCCATAGTAATAATATGGTCAGCAACTTCCTGTTCAATAGTAGTGGAGAATATTGGTCTTCGTCCTCCCAAATCACCTTTGATACTTCCTTGATGCTTAATAAAGCGCTTTTTCAAAGTCGTTTTTGGAACGTTAAATGTGTATGCTTTTTAAGGCTTGTTGCATATTACTCTCGTTCCACTGTTGCCTTTTTTGTAGAGCCATCCCTGTAAAACATATTATGTTAATCATTAAGTAACAAAAACTGAAGGTGTGTCCAATTTTATTGTCTTTTTCCTATGATGGACCCCTAGTCCGTCATAGGTAACGACACAGGGGTTCATCATAGGCAAATAGACAAGGCAGCAAATTTAATTCTGTTACTTTTGTTTTGACCATTTTAACCTAAAACAAAGTATAGTATTTGACAAAGAAAGTGTAGTCATTTTATACAAAACAAAAGCAACACTTAGCTTAACGTATGTTACCAGTAAAATGCTACTTACCAAAAAAAATTATTAGATCAGCAACGCCAAATTTTAATTTTATTTCACAAATTTACTGTTATAACAGCCACGTGTCTGAAACTTTGCAAATACTAAACTACAAACTTCGTGCGCAAGCGGCAACCGGCGATGTGTATGTAACCGCGCGCTATTTAAAATTACAGCCGGGGGTCCGTCATAGGCAGGGATCCAACATAGGCTTCCCCTATGTATTAAATTAAAATCCCCTCATATGTATTAAAATGACGAAGAATGTTTCCCATGTTTCTCTGTTCCTATATCGTACGAGTTAAAACCCGAAACATATTTCAATTCCTTTTTACGTCGCTTGAGTTAATGTAAACCACTTTAGAGTTTGTTAAGATTCTACAGATGTATACTTCCTCGGCATTTCTTTTAATCTTTTATTCGAAGTGGGATTGGCCTTGGGATTTTTGTGCGTCGAAGAAATAGGATATTTAACGTTTCCGTTACCGTTGTATGTGTTTTGTTTCAAGTTAAGCGAATGAATTTTAAAGATAATTTCATTACTCTCGCTGAGGCATTATCAGCGTTTTTCATTTGTTCAAATCAAATCAAATTTTTATGTAAATCTAGTGTGTAGTGAAGTAAAGTAGCAGTTTAATGGTTCAGTTACAGTTTTAAGGAGGTTTTGAAAGATATCCACATGTTCCAGTTGCCTGTTATTTTAAGAAGCCGAGTTTAAAGTTTGTGTTCCAGTGCCACTTCAACCTCATTTTTGTTTGTCCCTGGTTTTTGTTCCAGACTATAGATGTAGTCTATTTGTTCGTGTGGCAGATTCTAGTGAAGTCTGGTTTCCGCGCCCAGCATTTTTGTGTAAAAACCCAGTGCAATCCAGGTAACTTTTGTATTTAAATTTCAAAGGAAAAGTAAGAATAAATATTTTGGTTAATAATTGCTTTCATCCTTTAAAAAGATAATTTTTATTTGTAATATTTTATTTGTGTTATAAATCATAGCCCAGTAACAATAGTCAGTGCTTCTTTTTGTTATTTTTGTATTTACTTTTGTAACTATTCATATAGTAACTTTGTATTTTCTATTTTTGAGTATTTTTGCATTATCTATGTTTTGTAACATGTTTTTGGGAATTGGAGGAGTGTAGAGTATTCCCACTGCAATAAAACGGAATCCAAGGAAGCAGCAGTGCTAAGAACGACGATGTTCAACGACGACTGGACGCCTACTAAGATAAGAGAAGAACAAGATGGAGATCCAGTTGTACAGAAAATTCGAAATTCGAAAATGGAAAGAGGAAAACCGTCGACCACCTTGGCAAGAAATATCAAACCTATGCTCATTAGTTAAGGCGTATAGGGGCCCGGTGGGCCCAGTGCATTTATCATGAAAGATAGCTTACTCAAACGAGTCCTAGAAAATGATGACGGTTCAGAAAAGAGAAAACAATTGGTGATCCCAAAGAGCAGAATAGCCGAAGTACTTCGTCAGTTACAGAAATGTCCACCAGGAGGACATTTTGGTGTAAAGAAAACCATTCAGCTGTAATAATGTTTAACACGGACTGTTGTACATATTTATTAATATTACTTTCAGTATTACAGATTACAGTGTCATCCTAACCTCCTAATCTAAAGTGCTTAACCTAACCTCTGCCCCGAGACCACGTGCCGCCTGTCCCATGTCATAGTCCTGTCAGGACTTTACATTTACAAGCTATTCAGTCTCATGACATCAGCAAATTCAGTAACGGTTTATTGGATAAACAGCTCCGACAATAAATTAGTGAATATTGTATATATAAATTAATAAAGACTTTAATAAACTTGTAAGTGTTGTAAAAGTGTAGAACCCTTTTATAATAAATAAAGACAATACACTAGATTAATAACAGTTCAATACATTCGTTTTTAACATCTCCAGATACTCGCCGCCTACTCAAAATCTTATTACATTCAAGCAGCAGTTATACCAGACGAAATGCCATTGATAACATTCATAACATCACATATTTTTTTTTA